GAACTAAGTAGGTTGTAAATACTAACTAGGAACTAACTACTAACTACTAAGTCGGTTCGGTTCGATTTATATGAAAACTAAAACCGACCTGAACCATCGGTTTATGATTTTTTACAACCTAAAACTGACCGGTGCTGAAGAAAACCCGGTCGATTCAAGTTGGGTTGATCCGCGTTGGTCGGTTTGATCAAGTTGGATCTTCTTATAAATAACCCTATTGCAAGGTGCATATATTAATTGATACATATATATTTTGTTTAAAATCATTAAACAAGTTTTGGCAAAATCTATGATGCAAAAACTATATTGTGAAGCAAAAAAAAAAGTGAATTGATGATAAAATAATAGTCACAATTGATATCTTTAATAGTTACCCAAAAAAGTTGATATCTTTAATAATGTTGTGGAAATATTCATTTAACTCCCATTTGCAGAAATTTTGCAATTAATTTTCAATAGGCCACCTTGTGATCCCATTAAATCTTTGATTGGAAACATTAATCAAGCTTTTAATTACATGCACAAGTTCATATTATATATCCACTATCAATTTCGCAGCCATTGAGGGCAATATGGCACAAAAAATGGTATGCTACCTAACAAATAACAAATGATAACCAATCAGCTGCTATTCACTTAATAAATGTAGTAAATGGAGGCATTGTACATTTTCCGTACCATTGAAATGGTCTATTAATAAATGTAGTAAATAAGGCTGTTCTTGATGTAAAATTTTGCACCTACCCACAGAGGAACATGCTAAAACTAATTTAACAAAATTACCCATTAAATAGGCTGAAAAAAAGCTACAACTGTAGCAATTGTAACATAAAAAAATTTACTTGAACAAAAAGGAATACATTACCTAAGCAAATGTTACGTCAAATGTATGAAATGCTTACCCCGATAAATAAATTACCCAAAAAGAAACATGACCTAAAGGGCAAAAAATATCAAGAAGAATCAATAATTATATGGTGCCTAGAAAGCAAGAACACAGTACCTATTAGATGCCATTCTTCAATCTTAATTATGATGCAGTGGAACTATTATCTCAATTAAGCTGCTTTAATGGTATTGGCTATAACTTGACCATGTGATTGAAAGTGCAACGATGACAATCAATTTTTCTCTCTAACATGTCGATCACTTTGTCAATAAAACATAGTGGGACTGAAATCAGTTACCCGATTTAAAAGTAAGGTTTAAATACCGATTCGGAAATGGAACCGTTCTAGCCATTGGTTTCTGGGTCAGTACTTTGACTGTCCGGATCAAATGGTTCAGAAAGTTTGAATATTTTAACAGTGATATATTATCTTATCCATTAGATTGGAATATTAGGGTAAGATGCATATAAATATTACCCATTAGATTGAAATATTAGGGTAAAATACATATAAATATAAGAGAAAATAAAGATGAAATGAGAGGTATTTGAGAAGTTGTCGGCTGAAAGTGTTTAGAAGAAGAAGAAGAAGAAAGAAGAGGAGGAGGAGGGCTTAAAGGCTGCAACAGCGACGACGATGGTGATGGCTAAAAACTGGAGTAGATCTGAGATTTCTCAGTCTCAGATCTCACTCTCTCTCTTATAGATATGTCATCTAGAGTCTAAACTTCTCTTCCCTTTTCATTTTGTTGTGACAAGTTAATAAACCACAAATCGTTCTCTGGGCCGAACGGTTCAACATCAAACCATCCAGGTAAATGGTTCATTGACTAATTTAACGGTTTTTGACCAGAGATTGAATTTGGGGTAAAACGGAATCGGTTGCCTAAAGGGTTTCTGGTCCGAATGGTTCGATCGTCCAGGTCTACGATAGTTCGAAAACATTGCTTAAAAGCATTAGGCCCGGAGCCTCGGGCCATACTGATTAAAACAATATAATCCAAAAAAAACATGCGGTAGTCAAACTAGCTTCAAGCTGCTCAGACTTTCATGCAAAAAAAGTTCAATGTGTCTTTTAACTGTCAGAAGATCTTTTCAAAAAGACTTGTCAAAAGACCCCTTAATTTTTTCACTCAAATAAAAGATCCAATACCAATAAATAAAATTTAAGGTTTCTTAAATTTACAATGCTGGAGAGAGAGAGAGAGAGAGAGAGGATATTCTGATCAGTTGGGATAACAAACGAAATAAGTTTAGGGTTTACAAATTACATGCAACAGGCGCCTACCTTCAAGGAGAACAATTCCTCCAAGCCGAACCTTTCACTCAAGGTAGTGGGGCTGTGCTTTTTCCCATCCTCATCCTTGTGGTAGAGATTCTCTTCATCCTCTCCAATTCTCCCGTTTCTTGCCATGTTTAGACTCTTCAGACTGATAAATCCTTACATAAATATATATATCACACATATGGAGAGAGAGAGAGAGTCATGCATGTATAAATACAAAGCAAAAGAGACCCTTAAAAGATTTTGGGCCTATTAATGAGTTCAATAGGTGCAGCAGATCTTTTGTAAATTAAAAGTAATGGTTGGACTCGAAGATGTCGGTTGGTCCTGGCACATAAATATCTCCTAACAAATACGAGTATAACCATGTTGACCGCTAAGTAGGGGCGTCAATGGATTGGGTTTGGGTTCCATTCGAATCAAAAATCAATTTGAACTGGTTGGATGGTCTAATAAGACATATTTTAAATTTAATGGATTGAAATCAACCTGCTCCATCTATAATTAATGAATTTATATTATATTGAATTGGGTTGAAGTACGGGTGTTAATGAATCAAATTTGGGTTAGACCCAATTTAAACATATTAAATGGTCCGGGTCCGGGCATTGAAATGAACCAATTTAAAATGACCCAAAATATTCATCAAATTGGACTAGATCTAATCCATTTATAATAGATTCATATTGAACCGAATCGGATTGGACCAATATCCGATCCATTGAGATGGTCAATCCCAACCGAGAATGCGCGCGGTTGGTCATTGGTTAGTGATCTTATAATAAATATCCTCACATGATCAAGTCCCTCTCTGGGGGTTGAGGTTGACGAGCGACTTGGAAGGGTGTTATAGTCATTTAGGAATTACAAAACCGATTAATTAATTAAGCTCAGACTCACAGCATAAACTTGATTCAATATTTACTTACTAGTAGTGTAGTGACTATAGTCTATTCGTCGTTTAATTAAAACTTAAAAGCTAACGACATTTACCGGCTCTTTATTGCGGCAGTGGGCCAGAGAAGGTGAGTACAGTAAATGCGTCGTGGGTAGTTGACCGACGGTATTAAATTACAACGTATGCAAGTGGGATCCATTAAGGTGGCGTGTCAAGTTCTTATCCAGCTGCGTTGACCGAGACCCTTCCACTGCTCAGTGCTCACCTGATTGCCCTGATTGATCCTTCTTAGTATTCAATATGTTGCACACAAACATTTCTAACGAGTCTCTGTTTCCATATGAATTTGGATGCTAAGATTTAGATTCGTTCTACTTCCATATCTTATCTTTCACACTCAACCCTTTATAGATTAGAGGATGAGCCAAAACAAGGTCTACTGAAGTCTGTTTGTAATAACAATAACAAAACTATTTCTCCTTCATTTCTGTACTTTTTTTACAAAATATTGAAAAATAATCAAAAAGAGTAAAATCGACTCATTAATAACAAAAAAAAAAGTAATAAAAAATGAAAATAAATAACCAGGTCATCATAAAACCTGTTTTAACGATCGGGCAAAGAAGACGACAAAAACGGGTTTTGCACATACTGAATTCATCCAAACCCAATCCGTGTTTCGGACGGTTCGCACCAACCGTGATTCATATGGTATATAAAATCAGTAACAGTAATCAATTAATCAACAATAATAGAATTAACAGTAATTAATAAAAGTTATTATCAGAAAAATACAAAAGTCAACTGTAGGTCTGTACTTAACAGTAATTATTTTAAAAAATTACAATTAAATAATTAGCAATATTTTAATAAATATAGTATTTACTGATTAATAAATTACAGTATTTATTAATTAACAGTAATGTAATAATTGCAATATTTTTCATAATTACAGTATTTTTCACAATTTTTAATAATTTAGGTAATTTTAAAAAATACAGCATTTATTAATTAACAGTGTTAATAACAGTATTTAATTAAATTAACAATATTTTCAATAAAGTGGTATTTTGTTAATTACAGTATTTATTTAAAATCAATGTATTTATATTGTTTTTTAAAAACAATGTATTTACAAAAACCAAGAAAATTAACAGTAATTATTTTCTAAAAATTACATTTAATGACATTTAAATAATTTAGAGTATTCTAATAATACTTTATTTATTAATTACAGTATTTATTAAAAATAATGTATTTATTAATTAACAGTAATTTAATAATTACAATGTTTTTAAAAATTACTATACTTGTCATAATTTTTAATAATTTATATTATTTTAAAAAATACGGTACTGATTAAATAACAGTATTAATTACAGTATTTAATTAAATTTACAGTATTTTCAATAAATTAAATAGCAGTATTTTCAATAATTCAATAAACCAAAATTACAGCATTTTTGATAATTAAATAACAGTATTATCAACAAAAATAATGTATTTATTAAATAACAGTATTTTCAAAGAAAAGCCAAAAACAAAGTAACAAAAATAAACTGTAATTATTAAAAAATTAACAGTAATTTTTGTTATTATTAACATTAGTATAGAAAATACAGTATTTATTAATTAACAGTATTGAATACAGTATTTAATTTACACTATTTAATTATAATTATAAGTAATTATCAGAAAATTAATAGTAATTATTTTGTATAATTAACAGTAATAATTTATATAATTAAAAAAAATCAACATATGTTAATTTTATAATTAACAATAATTATTATTAACTAACACTAATTTACAATATTTTCAATAAATACAGTATTTATTAATTGACTGTATTTAATTATAGTTAAATACTTTAAACGGTAATTATTAAAAATTATAGTATTTATTAATTAATGGTATTTTCAAAAAATAAAGTACTTAGTTAATTAATTGACTGTGTTCAATAAATACAGTACTAGCGGGGACCTGTGCTATGCACGGGCTTTTATTAAGTGAAAGCTAAACATTAGAAAACTATATTTTATAATTCTATTTAGGAATGGCAACGGGGTGCAGTGGATAGGGAGCCACTCCCATCCATGTCCTTGCACAAAAAAAAAAAAAAAAAACCCATCCTTATACCCATCCCCATCCCTGTGCGGATCCCCACTCCTTGCCTTTTCTTTTATGATGTCAAATTCATTTTATTTTTTACTTTTACCCTAAAAAATAAAATAATAATTTACAATCATTTCAAAATAGTTCCAAATATATCTAAATATATTCAAATACATTCAAACATACCCAACCATATTCTTAAAGATATTAATACAAATACCTTAACTAATTCATAAGAAAAGCCCTAAGTTTTGGGCTTCAAGGCCTTAAACCTAATTTTTAAATTAATCAACATTTTATTAAATGTTACTAAATTTACTAAGGCCTCGTTTGGTTCACAGGAATAGGGGTCTAGAATCGGAATTGGAATGGGGTATTCCGATTCCAACTGTTTGGTTGGGCAGAATCGGAATTTCATTCCCATTCCTGTTGGAATGGCATTCCTCCATTTGAAGGAATGGTCATTACCTGCCCCTCCCTTGGGAATGAAGTCTCATTCTTGCTGATTCCAATTCTCATTCCCATTCCTGTCTAAATCAAACATACTATGGGAACAGGCCATTATGATTCCAAAGGATTTTGAATCTGATTCCGACCGCAAACCAAATAGACCCTAATTTATTTTTTTTATGTTAATCTTTTTACTTATTTTTCTAAATTTTAATTTTTACATATTTTAATATTAGTTTTCCTACTTTATAAATGTAATTTATTATTATGTTTAAATGCAATGTTACCAAAAATTTCAAAGGACTTTTTACAAAATAAATGATAAAGTTTGGACATTTGACAAAATTAATTATGTTTTTAAAATAATGACAGAAACAGTGAGCGGGAAAGTAGTTTTAATTTTCTAGGACAAAATTTCTCTCAATTAAAAGACTCCTCATAGGAATTCTCCCCCAACTAAAAGAGGAGACGATGATAACGGGAAAGCAACCCATGGAGTCGGTGGTGATGGCTCCGACCAAAAGAAATTATACAATCTACAAGTCCCATAAATCGAGTGCATGTTGACAAACGGCATACAAAGGAAGACGCAACATTTGTAGACAATTTTTGAAGGACTCACACCGAGATTCGTAAGTTTTTAAGTGCAACTCAGTTGTCCATTCCTTCACACAAAGTTGTTGAAAGCAGGGGACCTTCATAAAATTGGAAAAGCTACTATTTTCATCTATCTGCTTGGCAGCAAGCTCAGGATCCTCTTTCAGAGGTTTCACAACAACTATGTCGTCACACCTGCATTGACAAGTCCTCAGCAATATGCGTTGCATCAGGACTATCAAGTTTCGCAACGATGATGAGAACTCTTTAATTTTTCCAAACAAAACACTCAGATCTTTCATCATCCATCAGTCTGATCAATTCGAACTTACAAAAATGTTTTTTGTTTTACCGTACGTAGATTCATCCTTTTCTGGAGAGAGAGAGAGAGAGAGAGTGAGAGAAGAGATCGGAGGAAGACTTACCCCGCCGATTTCTGTGTCTGAGTGCATCGGGAGGATGGAGACAATGAATAGTAACTTCGGCCATGGGCAATTTGGTCAAAGAAAATATTTTTTTTGTCCAACTCACTGTTTTTGTCATTATTTTAAAAATATTACTGATTTTGTCAAATGACAAAACTTGGTCAATTATTTTGTTAAAGCCCATTTTCAAATGATGTTTAATGCTTTACTTAATTTTAAATATTAATTATTTTAGTTTTACTTTTTTCCTACTTTTTAAATGTTATTAATTATTTAGTTTTATTTTGTTAAAGCCCATTTTCAAATGATATTTAATGTTTTACTTAATTTTAAATTTTAATTACTTTAGTTTTAGTTTTTCCTACTTTTTAAATGTTACTAATTGCTTATTTTTAAATATTGATAATTTATTAAAAGAAAAGCCAAAAAATTATTGATAATTTCTGGTAATTTTCTATAATTATTAATAAATCACTGTTAAATAAAATTTGAATAACTACTACAAATTTATGGTAATTTCTAGTAATTTTTAATAATTACTAAATAATTAACTGTTAAATAAAGAGAAGGGAGATTAATTATTACTAAACTAATTAATTGAATTAAGGGCCAGGTTAAATACATGAACTTAATGATTTATTTTAAGTACATTAATTACTTTACTTAACTATTTTAAATTAATTAAA